TAATTCTAGCACTCTGGGAGGCCGAGGCAGGAGGATCACTTGAGCCACAGAGTTTGAGGTTGCAGAGAGCTACAATGATGCCACTGCACTCTACCCAGGGCGACAAAGTGAGACTCTGTCTCAAAAAAACCAAAACCTGCTCCAGAAAACCATTTTTAGTCATGCACTACATATCAACATTTTGGTCAATGCCAGACCACATATACATTGGTGGTCCTATAAGATTATAGTGGAGCTAAAGAATTCCTGTCCCCTAGTGACATCTTAGCCATCATAATGTCATGTCTCAACACATTGCTCATGTGTTTGTGGTGATGCTGGTGTAAACAAACCTATAGGGCTGACAGTCATATAAAAGTGAAACACATCCAATTATGTAGAGTACACAATACTTGACACTAGCCCGGGCATAGTGGCTCATACCTGTAATCCTAGCACTCTGGGAGGCTGAGGCAGGCAGATTGCTCGAGGTCAGGAGTTCGAAACCAACCTGAGCAAGAGCGAGACCCAGTCTCTACTATAAATAGAAAGAAATTAATTGGCCAACTAATATATATAGAAAAACATTAGCTGGGCATAGTGGTGCATGCCTATAGTCCCAGCTATTTGGGAGGCTGAGGCAGCAGGATTGCTTGAGCCCAGAATTTTGAGGTTGCTGCGAGCTAGGCTGATGTCACAGCACTCACTCTAGCCTGGGCAACAAAGCAAGACTCTGTCTAAAAAAAAAAAAAATACTTGACACTGATAATAAAGGACTATGTCACTGGTTTATGTGTTTACTATAGCATACTTTTTATTGATATTGTAAAGTATACTACTCCCTCTACTTACAAAAAACAAAAAGTTAACTATAAAACAGCCTCAGGCAGGTCCTTTAGGAGGTATTCCAGAAGAAAGCACTGTTATCATAGGAGACAACAGCTTCATGCATATTATTACCTTCCTCTGACGACCTTCCAGTGGGACAAGATGTGGAGGTGGATGACACTGATATTGATGATGCTGACCGTGTGTAGACCTAGGCTAATGTGTGTGTATGTACCTTAGTTTTTCACAAAAATGTTTAAAAAAAAATTACTTTTTAAAGGCTGGGCTTGGTGGCATGTGCTTGTAATCTAAAATCTTTTACGCTGTATTTTTTACTGTATCTTTTCTATGTTTAGATATGCTTAGACACATAAATACTTACCACTGAGTTACAACTGCCCACAGTGTTCAGTACAGAAACATGCTGTACAGGTAGATTTGCAGCCTACGAGCAGTAGGCCATACCCTGTAGCTTAGATACATAGTAGACTATACTATTTACATTGTGCAAGGACACTCTATGATGTTCATACAATGATGAAATTGCCTGATGACACATTTCTGAGAATGTATCCCAGTCGTTATGTGATGCATGACTATATTTCCATTTTACACCTCTCCCACCATTTTTGGATTCTAAAAGAACTCTAATAATATCCCATTGTTGCCTGGGAGAATTGGCTGTTTAACGATCATAGTTCTACCTGTTTGCATGGTGTCTTAAGAGCAACTCCCTCCAAACCCACAATGTGGCCTGATCCTCCCATAGCTCTTAGTCCACTGGCTCCTATTACTAGTAGAACTCACTTCTCTCACTCACTAGCTGTTGACTAGCTAAGTGTCGCCTCATAGGATGTGATGCCAAAGTGCTAGTTTTTGTTTGGGAGGCAGGGAGGGAAATGCCAGAGAAGGGCAGTAATAACTCAAAATGAGAGCTCTGATGACCCAGGGATGGGAGGTGCTGAATTTCTTGTGTGTGTGTGTACGTGTGTCCCATGCAAACTTAACCTGTGAAATCATTATGTCTAGCAGTTCCTTGACTCAGGGGTGGGGCCACACAAGGGATTCCCTCCTTTTCCCAGGAATAGGGTGTGGGAGACCAGATGAGTTGATCCCACACCTGGGGCCTTCCTGTCCCCTGGTGCTTTCCACCCCACCATTGCCACATCAGCACCTCCCACATCTGCAGTAGGGAATACAGCATCCCCTGCCTGCTTCCCCTCCAAAGAATTCACACCATCCCAGGAGCCCCTTCTACAAATCTCTCACTCTCTTTGCCTGGCCACCCAAGCATCCCACCCCCCCAGCTGGACTTCTCCATAAATGCTGCTGCCCCCAATCTTCCCTATTAGGTCTGCCAAGGCACAGAGCTATTTTTATCTCATTTTCTTCTCTGGCCTGCGGACCTCGGAGAGGAGTGGCCTCTGCTTTCCTCTAGCAGCTGAGTCCCCATCTCTCACCCCCACCTGGAACATCTGCTTTACAGCTCAGGAAGTTCTGCTTCCCCTCAGCCTCACCCAGTTGCTGGAATCTTTTCCTTGCCTCTGAGTTCCTCCCAGGAGTTGGGACCATTTTAGTTCTTAGTTATTTCCCCCTGTAGCTTCAGGACTCGATTTGGGCCATTCTTGCTACCTCAACTCTCAGCCCACCACTGGCCTTGATTTAGTACAGATGCAGTAGAAGCCACCCTGGGATTAGAACTCACCCCCCCACACACACACACACACACAAACACACAATATACATAGACACATCCCTGGGGGATGCCACTGGCTTCTGCAGAGAAGTCTTTCTCCCTCGATACCTTTCCTTCTCCCAGAATCTCCACCTTTGGCATAGGGAGGTTTACCTTGAAGCCAAGAACTTTCCTGGGTTCTATGGCCTGGGACATTTAGAGTGAGAAGGGTCACTCATACAAGCTTTTTATGGTGGCCTTATACCACACCGGGCTAGGGAGAAAGTATAGAGCTGGCTTGCTGTCCCAGGACTAAGTGGGGTGTGGTCCCTGGAACAAGCTGGGTGTGGTAGCTCACGCCTATAATTCCAGCATTTTGGGAGGCTGAGGTGGGAGGGTTGCTTGAGGCCAGGAGTTTGAGACCAGCCTGAGCAACACAGCAAGACAAAAAAAAATTTAGAAACTAGACCAAGCGCGGTGGCTCACACCTGTAATCCTAGCACTCTGGGAGGCCCAGCCAGGAGGATCATTTGAGCTCAGGAGTTCAAGACCAGGCTGAGCAAGAGTAAGACCCCGTCTCTACTAAAAAAAAAATAGAAAGAAATTAGCTGAATAACTAAAATATATATAGAAAAAATTAGCTGGGCATGGTGGTGCATGCCTGTAGTCCCAGCTACTAGGGAGGCTGAGGCAGGACGATCCCCTGAGCCCAGGAGTCTGAGGTTGCTGTGAGCTAGGCTGACACCACAGTACTCTAGCCCAGGCAACAGAGTGAGACTCTGTCTCAAAAAAAAAAAGCAAACAAAAAACAAAACAACCCTTTTTGTCCCTTTGTTTTGCTCTCCCTTTGCTGCAACAGTGGGTCCGGCAGTCGTCTGTGCCATATATATCATGCTCTGTAAACCTGTATCTTGCTCTTGCCCTATCTGTCTCTCCTCGATAAACCTCATTTTCATGTTTGCCTTAAAACAAAACAAAATATAACAAAAAAAACACCTCACAGGTCCCCCTCTCATCCTCCAATCCTGCTTCCTCCAAGCAGTTAGATAAATGGAAACAGCTCTGGGGAAACGTTTTCTACCCAAATAGTGCCATAAGTGTGGGGAGCAAAGCTTTTCAAAGTCCAAGTAAATGCCTCTTGGGTAAGGGCAGGGAGGAGCACAAGTGCCATTTCTGCCACTGTCCCACCACGGCCTCAACAGGTGCCAGCTCACCCACCTCCCTGTCTCAACTCTCCCCAGACTGCATCTCTCTTAATTCCTCCCAGAGAAGCCAAGCAAGGACCTCACCTCATCCCAGATGGTCACTCAGAACCCGGCTGGTACCAGGATCAGTGGAATCACAGCTCCCTGACAGGGGTCTTCTCACGTGTGGGAAAGCTGGCCTTCCCCCCCCCTTCCCTTCAGGAGGGAGAGACAGGAATAGGGAGCATAGACCTACCCTGCCAGCCCCATGATCCCGCCTCCTGGGGTAGGAGCATCTACCAGGCTTTTAGGAAACAGGGAGGAGGCAGGGCTAGGGACAGTCCCGTCCAGCCCAAGATCCCCAAGCCCTCAGTTCAGACTCATCCCTGTTGGGACTGGGGAGGAGAAGCGGAGAGGAGCAGCAACACTGAGACTCCCAGGTTTATTTGGGGATAGGATACAAAAACTCCATTTTTACCCAGGCAGGAGGAATTGGGAGAGGTGCAAAGCGCACCAGCCTCTTCCCATGCTGCTCCCGGCGTCCGCCCCCGCAGGCATGGGGGTGATTCACCGCGCCTAGACCGCAGGACCCCGCGGAGGCTGTGCGCCCCCCTCCGCCCGCCGCTGGCGCACCCCTTACGCCCACCCTGCCCCGCCAGCTTCCAGGAGGCCGTGAGCCGGCGCGCAGAGGGCTGGCGTGTGCTCAAGGGCCTAAAAACGCCTGGAGGCCACGGTAACACCGCAGCCAAGGGACGGGGGCGGGCAGCAGAGGCTGATGCGGGGGCGTGGGGTCCGGGGAGGGGGGCTGGCGGTCGCTTCCCTCGGCTGGCGCAGCCCCCGCGGGTGCGTGCCTGAGCCCTGAATCACCCGCTATATCGGGCCAGCAAGCGCGGAGGCCCCAGGCCCGGGCCCCGCCGCCAGTGTCCGCTTACAGCGGGCCCCAACGGCCGCCAGGGACCCCTGGGTGTCCCGGAAACTTCCTCCAAGTTAGAAAGACGGTTTGACAGAGCCAAGTTGGGAACGGTCTGTCAGGGGCAGCGTCCCCGGGTCCAGTCCCCTAACTCGGTTCTGCTACAAGTTTGAGACCCGAGGGACGGGGCTGGGTGGGGACGTGCAGGGTGCAGAGCGCGCCCTTCTGCACGCCCAAGAGTCCGCCGCTCCCCCAGCCCAGCCCAGCCCAGCCGCGCTCGCCGGAAGGAGGGTGGATCTCCAGAGCGCCCAGGCCAGGCTGGCCGGAGAGCAGTGCCCCGGGCAGGTTTCCCCACCCCAAACCCCAGGCGGGGTACGCGGGCCGGGCGCAGGAGTCTGGGGTGCGGTCTGCCCCGCGGGCTCACCTGGTAGATCATGACTTTGAAGTTGCGGCGCCGCAGCAGCTCGGCCTCATTGACCTCCAGCTTCTTGATCTGGCCGGCCTGGCGCTCCAGGCTGCCGCGCACGGTCTTCACGTTGACGCTGACCTTGCGCACCTTCTCTAGCAACTTGCTCACTGTGTTACTCGTGGTGGCGTGTGCCTTGCTCAGCTTGCTCAGCTCGCCCTGGATGCTCTGCACGGCGCCCTCCATCTCCGCCTGCCGCTCCTCCAGCTGGGCTTGGGTCAGCTGGATCTGGTCGACGGCGCCGATGATTTTGTCCAGAAGGCTTAGCACCAACACTCCATTCACCTGGTCCGACTTGATCAGCTCCTCAGAGCCGGCCCCGGACGGCTCCTCCGCTGCCGGCGCCCCCACGGGGGAGGGCTCCGGGCCCTCGGAGTCGGGGTACCCGGGAAGCGGCCGCTCGACGATGTGGAGCGTGACGTCCTCCATGGCTACCCGGAGCCGAGCGAGGCCGGCCGAGTGGAGCTGAAGCCGGAGCGGGAGACCTGGAGAGAAGGAGGAGCGGGAGGGGGAGAGCGATCGAGAGCAGAGAGCAGAGGAAACTCGAGCCACGTCCGTGCGCACCGGGACCGCGGCCAGAACTGTGGGGCGGGGGATCTGTGCGCACCCTGGCTCCCGGGCCAAACCCTGGAGTCTCGTCGCGCATTGGCTGGCCCCATCCCAGAAAGGGAGGGACCGAGGCAGAAGGGGAGACCAACGAGGGGGAGCAGGGGAGGGGGACCCGAGAGCCGAGCGCCCCACCCTTCCCAGGATGGTTGGAATAGTTGGAGCGGGAGACCAGGGCCTCCGCTGGCAGCGCAGGCAGCTGGAGCGGGGCTGGGGCGAAGGAATGTGAGTTGAGGAAGGGAGTCAGGTCTTAAGTGCGTTGCGTCCCGTTTCCCTTTTTCCTCTCTCCCGTTTTTTTGCTCATAAGCAAACTGACTTGATCTGAAAGCCTTTTAAGATACAGAGCTGGGAGTTGGGTGGACCATGAGATCCTGAAAGTAGTATAGGCAAAACATTGCATTTGCCTGTGCCTAGTTTTCAAGTGCAAAGGGATCGCTACTGTCTAAGATCTTTTCGACCGCCAAGTTACCAACCCACTGTTCTAAAAGCTGTAGGGGTTGTTTGCGGAAGGGAAGGAAAACTTAGGTTCACGTCGGTGCTGAGGGGTCTGCGAAGCTCCTCTAGATTCCTCTTAGAATTGTCCTAACAGAGTAAGATTTAGATGGTCAATGAAACAGAAGTAAAACTCTTTTCCCCACCTTTCACCTCTCTAAAAATCACCTTTCCCCGTGCTACGCCCCCCACAACCAGGTTTCGCTGGCACCAGTCCCAGAGCAGAATCTGAGTCCATTCATCCCTCTAGATCCCAGAGACCAGCGCTAGACAACCAGAGAGATTGGTAATTCCCATCACCTCGTTTGACAGGCAGGAAAAGGTGGGTCTGCAGAAGACAGGTGACTTGCCAGAGGTGACTCGCAGGTTAGTGTTGGCATCGGACGCTTGAACCCACGTCTCTGGACTGCTGCTGCCTTGCTCTTCCTACCTTAGCACTCTGAGCCTTTCACTGGGGCAGGAGGGTGGGCAGCCAGGGCCACCCCCATGTGCTGGTTGGAGCTTGCTGGCTTGCGGACACACTAGTAATAAGGACACACTAGTAATAAAACACATTTTCATTCGCGGTGGGTACAAAGGAGCCGTCAGTTCTGAGCAGGCCCAAGGAGGGTCTTTAGCGGAGAAGCCCAGAGGAAGAGGCTGCCCATCCCCCCCTGTTTGGCGCCCTGGCTCTGTGACTCCCCTGGAGCCACACCAGCTCCCTTTCCCACAGAAAAGCTGCAACCCTTTTCCCTGCTTTGGAAACCAAGCTTGGGTTTCCCCAGCTGGTTGCATGATGGTCTGGGCAAAAGGTTACTTCTAGTCTGGCATCCATTGTCATTAGAGAGACAGCAAAACTGCCGTGTGGGGACCCCAGGCCTCCTCAATCCAGAGAAACCACCAAGGCAGAAAAGGAGCCCCAGCGCACAGTGGCTGAGATAGTACCCTATCAGACTACTGCATAAAATACTTCCCCTAACACTTCAATAGCTGTTTCCTGGAGAACAAGCAGCTTTCCCATTGGAAATCCAAGTAGAAGGAACTGGTATATAAAATCTTATATTTACATAGAGCTCTTAGAACTGGCAGGTTGCCAATGTATTTTAGAATTTAAGAGAAATGTATTATAGTAATTTAAGTTCCTTCTACTGAGGATTGATAAAGCTTTTAGAAAAAAGAACAGTGACAGCAGAGAACCTGATTTGATTAGATTATTTTAACAGATGACATGCAAGGTACAAATGCAAATAGCACCCAAAGAAATACAGTGAAAAGAAATTTTATTTCTACCTCTGTCTCTAGTAACTAGTTCCTTTTCCAGGAGTCATCAATTCTACGATTCTCTTGTGGAATTTTCTACAGAAAATTTCTGCACATATGATCATGTACATATATATATAGTTCGACACTTCACTTTTTTCAGTTATTAATATAGCTTACAGATTGTTTCATACCAGTACATGTAGAACTGCCTCCTTTCCCAGTGTATAGATGTACTATATTTATTTAACCAGTTCTCTATTGATGGACATTTACAGATTACAATTCAAACTGGGAGGCAGGGCTGGGGGAGGTTGCTGAAGAGACGTTTTAGTGGTTGATTTGGTTTGTGTAGTCACACGTTTGCTAAAAGGAATTAAGTCCACACCATTCTAGCTTTCACATCAGGAAAGTATTTCTATTCCCCTTCTTCAAAAAGGAGTGTCAGAATTTGTGATGAGTCAAGTTATGGCCCAGGGATAGTCCAGTGAGTATATCTCTGACTCATTTGGTGCCTCCTTAAGAGAGAATTTTTGCAAAAGGGCTCTACCCCTGCATGCCTATGTTGGAGAAAAATCTGCATCAACAAGTTTCTTTCACATTCCTCTTCTTACTAAATGCCAGCTAAGACCAACAGGGGGCATGCTCAGCCTTGGTGCACTAGCTTTACCAACACAGACACCCAACCCTGGAGCAGAAAAATCCTTTCCAGAGCATTTCACTCCATTTCAGTAAAAACAAGCAGTTTCTCTTCATTTGTAATTGCATTCAGCATGCCATTGCTTGCATTCAGGATTGATGGTTTGCATTTTCCATTGCTCACTCTCTTTGCTGAAAGGCACACTGCTCCATTGTGTACTTTCAGCTGCTGAGAAAGAGTCCATAAAAGGGATAGTGAGGTCAAAGCAAACAACCCCTTTGGCCCAGAAAAAGAACACCAGGATGCAACCATGTCAGCAGCTAGAATTTCACAGCCCTCTATCCTATTCCTCCATCCATCCATTTGGTCAATAAAGTGTGATGACTTATCATGAGCCATCATGAGCCAGCTATTGGGCTAGGGACTTTAATGTGGATAAACAAAGTCTAATCCCTCCTGTTGAGAAGCTCCTAGTGTACTAGTGTAGCAAGAGACACAAATGCTCATTCTTTTTTTTTTTTTTTTTGAGATAGTCTTACTCTATCACTCTGGGTAGAGCACAGTGTCGCCATCATAGGTCACTGCAACCTCAAACTCCTGGGCTCAAGTGACCCCCTTGCCTCAGCCTCCCAAGTAGCTTGGATTACAGGCATGCATCACCACCCCCAGGTAATTTTTCTATTTTTAGTAGAGATGGGGTCTTGCTCTTGCTCAGGCTGGTCTCCAACTCTTTTTTTTTTTTTGAGACAGAGTCTCACTTTGTTGCCCAGGCTAGAGTGAGTGCCATGGCGTCAGCCTAGCTCACAGCAACCTCAAACTCCTGGGTTCAAGCAATTCTGCTTCCTTAGCCTCCCAAGTAGCTGGGACTATAGGCATGCGCCACCATGCCTGGCTAATTTTTTTTTTCCCTATATATATTAGTTGCCAATTAATTTCTTTCTATTTTTAGTAGAGACGGGGGTCTCACTGTTGCTCAGGCTGGTTTCCAACTCCTGACCTCGAGCAATCCACCATCTCAGCCTCCCAGAGTGCTAGGATTACAGGCGTGAGCCACCGCGCCCGGTCTGGTCTCCAACTCTTAAATTCAAGTGATCCTCCTGCCTCCCAGAGTGCTAGGATTATAGGGATGAGTGACCTTACTCCTGGCCTGCATAACTTGTTTCTGACACAATGTAGAAGGTGTTCCCCAGCTTAGGGAAGGTGGTCACTACTTTCAAGTAGAGAAAGGTTAACAGGGGAGGGTTTCCAGGTACCAATTGGGGGAAGGGACCCCCCTTCCAGCCTCAGTAATGTGAGGTGTGAAAGTGCACAGGGGAGTAGCCAGGTATTGCTCAACTTCTCTTATCAATGTTTACATAAGTCTTATCAGTTTACATTTAGGAGATCCTGCAAAAGGAGTGATATGTTACATTCAGTTTTGAATGCCTGCTGGGAGAGATCCCAGGGAGACAGTGGGTTTTGTTAATGATAAATGGTGGGGATGAATGATATGTCTTCACATCAGAAAAACCATCCTGCAAGAAAGCCCAGCCCTTAGCAGCTAGCTTACAGCTGCCACAAACAGCAGTGACTTTTTTTCACCAGTTTTATGGGCACTATTCTTGTCTCTCTGGTATACATATATGAAAAACACTTATAATATTTATATATTTCTCTTCCTTAAAAATTTCTTCCTTCTCCTTCAAACAGTAATATGTAGGGTAATTTCCTGAACTAGAAAATAATCAAAATTATTTATTAAGTGCTAATTTATGTATAATTTAAGGTGGGAGTTTTAGCCGTGATTCAAGCTAACAAACGGAAAACATTAAGAAAACAAGTTAATGAAAATGCTGTAAAACCTCTCCTCCTAGAGATAGAGAACATATCTCTATTATCTTTCAATTATTTATTTTTTTAAGAGATGAGTTCTTGCTCTGTTGCCCAATATGAAGTATGTACAATGGCACAATCATATTCATAGGTCATTAAATATGAAATGTCAGATTTCAAGTCAAAAGTGTAGGGGTTTTTTTGTTTGTTTGTTTGTTTTTGTTTTTGTTTTTTTTTAAGACAGAGTCTTGCTTGTTGCCCAGGCTAGAGTGAGTGCCGTGGCGTCAGCCTAGCTCACAGCAACCTCAAACTCCTGGGCTCAAGCAATCCTTCTGCCTCAGCTCGAGTAGCTGGGACTACAGGCATGCGCCACCATGCGGCTAATTTTCTCTATATATTAGTTGGCCAATTAATTTCTTTCTTATTTATGAGTAGAATGGGGTCTCGCCTTCTTGCTCAGCGTGGTTTCGAATCCTGACCTTGAGCAATCCGCCGCCTCAGCCTCCCAGAGTGCTAGGAAAAGTGTAGTTTTTTTATACTCAAACAAGAAGTGGCACAATTAATCAAAGTATGCACCCAAACTATCAACATAGGTTTGCCATCTTAATGGTAGTTATTTATGCCAGCAGTGGAAAAGCCTGGAGAGTGAGTGGGCAATGAAATCTGGAAAGGTATTTTCCACAGCTTGTTGAGAATTGAATATTTTTCCTTGCAAGAAGTGGTCTAAGCCTGGAAGAAGTGGTAGTCAGTTGGTGCAAGGGCGTGAATATGGTGGATGACAGAGAGTTTCCAAGTCCAGCTTCTGCAAATTTGAGGCAGCATTGTCTGTGTGACATGTGATTGAGCACTGTCTTGCAACAGGACTGGCCTGTCTCTATTGACCAATCTTGGCTATTTAATCGTGCATCCTCATCATTTCATCCAATCGGTTGCAGTAGGCATCTGCTGTAATCCATTGACCAGATTTCATGAAGCTGTAGTGGATAATACCAGTGCTGGACCACCAAACAGATACCATTATCTTTTTTTGATGAATATTAGGTTTTGGACTGTGTTTCAGC